CTGAGAAGGCCGCGGCGCCCGATGCATTTTTCAGAGCCGCCAGATGTCAGAGATTCTCAGGGGGACGCGGCTGGGACGAGGACCAATCCGTTCTCCAGGGCGTGCCGGAGCGCTTTGAGAGCGTGCCGGAGCGCTCTGAGGAGGCCGCGGCGCCCGAGACGTCCACCAGAATCGGTGGATCTCAGAGATTCTGGATATATCAGCCACGCGCAGAGGGGGGTGGGGGGAGGGGGGAGGGCTTCTTAGAAGCACCCCTGCTTCTAAGAAGCCCTCCCCCCTCTCCCCCCACCCCCCTGTGCGCGCTGCAAAATATAGTCTCACCCGATTTTGAGTCTGTTTTTTAGACTCCGGCAAGTTCACTTGCTTGGACGGCGGGGGGCCTGCAGCTGCAGCAGGCCGCAAACGACTTGCACGCGCGGAAGCCAGGCACGTCGAAAGGCACTTGCACGCTCGTGTTCGTTCGAAGAGGGGCCAGGGGGGGGGACGAGCGGCATGCATAGATGCAGATAGTATACAGATGAGATCTATGTATAAGTAACGCAAAACAAATCTGGACCCTCCTCCTGGCCTCCTCTTCAGCGCAGGGGTGCCTCCTCGAGCCGCCGCGGGATGCCGCCGCGGTGAGGAGGGAGGAGGGAGGAGGGAGGAGGGAGGAGGGGGAGGAGGGAGGAGGAGGAGGAGGAGGAGGAGGAGGGAGGAGGAGGAGGAGGAGGAGGAGGAGGAGGAGGAGGAGGAGGAGGAGCCCCCAGGCGTGCCTGCGGCGCGCCGAGAACGGGGCCTTCGCGCTCTTCGTGTCGGAGCAGCGCGGGGCGGCGGCGAGCGGATACGGGAAGGAGACTCCCGCCCCGCGCGGCCGCGGCGCGGTGCCCCGCGGTGCCGCTCCTCCCCGCGCGCGCCGCGGCGCCCCCTCGCCCTCGACGAGGGGGAGCGAGGCGCGGGCGGCTTTCTCCCCCCCCTCGACGAGGGGGGCGAGGCGCAGGCGATTCCCCCCCCCCCCCCCCCAAAAAAAAAAAAAAAACGAACAAGAAAACGGACCTCTCGAAGGGGAAACGGAGAGGTCCAGGAGAGGGGGAGCCCTGGGACAATTGCTCCCCCTCTTGGGGGCGATTCGGACGCACACCCCTATCGAGGAGGGGCGCCCCCCCCCCCCCAGAGGTATACTCCTCCTCCTCCTCCTCCTCCTCCTCCTCCTCCTCCTCCTCCTCCTCCTCCTCCTCCTCCTCCAGGCGAGAGCTCCCGAAGCCTGGGCAGGGCGACGCGTCCCCCGCTGGAGGAGGGGCCCCGAGGCCGGGGCGGCCCGAGAGGGCGAACGCCGCGAGGGGCCGAGGGCCCGAGAGAGCGACGAGCTCTGGCAGGCCCGCGCCTTACGTTCGAGTCGGGCGTGTCAGGAGAAGGATAAGGAGGATCAGGAGGAGGAGCAGGAGGAGGAGGAGGAGGAGGAGGAGCAGGAGGGGATGGAGGGGGAGGAGGAGCAGGAGGAGGAGGAGGAGGAACATTCAAAAACAGTCCACAAATAGTCCGGGGGCCATTTTCGTTACTATGGTTGACTACGTCTGTATATCTGTTTGACTGTTTTTATGTTTCGTCCAAAATCCGCCTGTGGGAGCACACGCCCGACCTAACCCTACATGTGCTCGCCTCTCCCGCTCATCCAACCATTCCTGCTGTGGAAGCCGCCTCTCGGATCAGAGCGGCGCGGTTCCCGGCCGAACGCCCTGCGAGGCGGTGCGTCGTGCCTCGGCGACGCTCGAGGTGCCCGATGCCGCTGCTCGTCCGAGAGAGCCCTCGCCGTCACGGCTGGGCTCTCATCGAGCATGTGGCCAGAGTGCGCCATGCTCCGGGGAGTGGCGATGCCCGTGTCGTTTTCACCCCGCCCCAGCTCTCCGTCCGTCCCCTCCCCACCCTCACTCCTCCCCACTGCTCCTCCCTTGCGGCAGCGCGCGGCAGCCTGGAGGGCGCGGCCCAGGTGGGCGCCCTGGGGGCGTGCTGCCGTCAGTCCGCCTCAGCGGACCGCCAGCGGCCCCTGCGACTGACGGCTCGAGGCTCCGCGGAGCCCCCCCTGCACTTCCGCCTTCTGCTCCTCGTTCACCTCCTCTGCCTCCCGATCCTGGCCCCTCCCCCCCCCCATCCCGCTGGTGCTGCGCTCCCCCTTCTCCCTCTCGTCGCCCTCTCCCTCCCCCATCCCCCTGCTCCCTCTCTGCCGCGGCCCTGGCTCTCGTCCGCCCCCCCCCCGTCACCCTCCTCCTCTCGCAAAGCCCCCCCTCTCCGATGGCGCAGCCGTCGCTCGCTCTGGGCAGGCACGCCCGGAGGCGGGCTCTTGCTTCGGGGGCGGACAGACCTCCTACCCTGACACGTCGATTAAGGAATTGGCCGTTTTTGTGTCGCGAGAGGGCGTCGCGGCCGTCATGTTTGCGGGTCCAGGTCCGTCGGTTTCGGTCCCAGGCCGTTTTCGCTAAGGGGAGGTCTACTAAAGGGAGGTTTGTCCACCGCCGATTGCCTC